GCAGTTCACATTTTTGTCTGGGACGCGAGGAAAGTCATAAGGTAAGTCTATGGACACGTGCACCCGCATTTAGACACCATGGGAGAGTACGTGCCAGCAAGCTCAGATTAGTTAGCGCTGGATCGGAGATTCGCAGCAGCGCTGGAGAGAAGGCTGAAAACTACAGGAAAGAAGATGATCGGATTAAAAGACATAATTTAAGGTAAGTGCTTTAATTAACGTTGGGGTGAGCGAAAATTTGTTTTGCCTTTTTAATTTCACTTTAAGTGTGGTATATGCATTCGTTTTCCTTTAGGCTTTTCTTCCTTTATTTTCACCTGGTGATATGGTAAGTCTGTTATTTCTCAACTTCCTTTAAAGGAGAACTATGGGGTCAGGGCTTTTCCCCCTAGTTCTCAGGGTAACGGGAGGACAAAAACTAGCCTTCTCCCATTCCGCTAAGCTCAGCTACAGCTCGCGGTATACTGAGACGCCGGAGCGGATCCCGACATCGATCCGCCCAGCCGCGTGAGTGACAGCTGGCTTTGCCTATCTAGAGGCAGAGCCAGCTGTAGTGTATTTCCTCTTTTGCAGTCAAATTTTGAGAAAACCCCAATATGTTTTTGTCCCTTTTCACACAGCATGACAGAAAACAATTTAAAAATATTTCTTACCTTTTTAGAATGTTTAAGAAGGCAAGATGGCTGGCTTTTTTTCCCCCCTCTGTGATTAACGCATTGTAATGTGCAACACACCTTTGTGCGTTAACAGTGCAGTGATTGCATTGCCATTTGACTGGCACCCAAAATGCACTGCCCACAATGCAATCTATCACACCGCAACATGTGGTACTGTAATACCATGTGTTGCTTTGCAATTAAAACTAGTACATGCACTACATTTTTTAATCGCCCCGCAGAGTATTGTGCTACCGCACGTTGCGGCACAATCTATCACTGGACCTCCTGCACAGGTGACGCACAGTAGGTGTGTTGTGCATTAATCGCACGGTACCGTACAATTAACTAATTTAAGAGATTTAATGTGTTGGATAACTTTATCTAAATCTGCTAGTGCATCTAATACTACCCTGCAGAGGATGACAATGCTGCTGTCTAAGGGTGGTTTTGTTGCTTCTCCATAGAGTGGGGAAGCATATACAGCCCTCAACCGAATGAGGTACTGGGGGCCAAACCTTTATTTATGGAGATCCGAAAAAAAAGTACTCAAGAGGAGTCCAAGACCTTCCAGATGTTCAGGGAGAGGGGCAAGTTCCGTGTTTTGGCGATATGTAGAAGGAAAATGCACCTGATATTATCCCCTGCCTGGCACCTAGGAACAAAATCAACCTGGCCCCACCCAACAATGCTGGTAAGTAAGGCCGGGTTCAAATGGGTAGCTAATATCTTGGCCAACAGCTTCACATCAAGGTTAATGAAGGAGATGGGGCAAAATTTGGACCACATAGTTGTATCCATCCCAGGTTTTGGCAACATGCAGATAGCAGCCTCAGGGAAGGACTTAAAAAAGGAAACCCCTGTTCTCAGTGCGTCAAGCATGAGTGGGGTGACAACAGTTCCACATTTTTTTTTTTTTAATAGTAGATGGCTATGAAGCCATCCGGCCCTGGACACTTGGGTATTTTAAGATATTTAATATAGCGGAGCTTACTTCTTCTAGCGATATTTCTCCATCTCCATCAAGAGAGGCTAGTTTAGAATACAGATCAGCCAAGCGGGATTGGAAAATTTTCAGAATTGCTGCTGGGTTAGATGTCAAAGCGCCTCCACCCCTTATGATCCTATAGGGTTTGTATTCCTGGTCCGGAGTCTGCAATCTACACGTGAGAAGAGAATCCGGCTTGAGGTAGAACTTATGTTTAACCCAGTAAAGGTGCTGTTGAGCTAAATGGACCAGACAAAGGTCCAACTCCACCCTAACATGGTACAATGCAGATCTGTTCTCGCCGGTAGGATGCGACTGAAACTGGGTCGTGGCGTAAGCAAACTCCGATTCCAGCACACATTTTTTTGAGTCTCCAAGTTGTCCTTATCCGAGAAGCCTGCTCAATCAGAATTCCCTGCAAGGGGGCCTTATGGGCCTCCCATAAGAGGACTGAGGAGTCATCCGACCCTACATTCAGGTGAATGTACTCCCAAATAGCGCTATCCACTGCAATAGAAACCATGGGATCCTGTAGAAGGGGGTAAAAAAGAGACCACAGAGATGGATGGTCTGGTCATCCAGGAGTCCAAGGTAATGGTGGTATCATGATCTGACCAAGAAATGGGGACAGTGGTCGCACAACGGAGGTTAGGAAGCTCCGTGTGTAAAAGAAAGATGTGGTCGATACGGGAAAAGGATTCGTGTGGGTGAGACTAAGATGTGACGTCTGAAGTGTGCAATTCCCACCAGGTGACAATTAAATGCTGCTAACCCAAAAGAGCCCTAAAGTGATGGGAGGAAGACATCAGGTGGGGGTGACGAACCTGTGGACAAATCTTGTCTGTTAATATGTGGGTAGGTGACGATGTTCGAGTCCCCACACATCACCAGAGATTAGTTTTAAACACTATAGTCCACCTGCATAAGGTGACACATGAAGCCCACATGGACGGAATTTAGGGCATGGTGTGTTACCAGCATAACAGGTCTGTCCCGGAGAGTCCCCACCAAAAATAATGTACCGCCCTTCAGGGTTAAAAATGTTCCTAGTGCAGGAGAACTGGGCAGACCGACGAGAAGCTATAAGGACTCCACAGTGTTTTGTAGATGCTGCCGCCAAATAAAACTGTGGATGGGTAGAATCAAGATATTTGGGAGATGAACTCGAGATGTCTCCTGGAGACAAACAGCATGTATAGATTAAAAAATCGGAAAGCTTGGCTCCGCTTTTGAGGAACAATAAAGTCCTGAACATTAAGCAAAACAATAGTCAAAGGCATCTTGAAAAAGTAATACAAAACCACAATGACCAAAAAAAGTGGATGGGAAGAGCAGGGGAGCACCAGAAGAGAGGAAGGGCAGAAAAAAAAAAGATAGAAACAAAGATAACAAAGAGCGGGAAGGGGAGAGATGAGAAATAGAAAATCTAGGGAAAGAGAACAGAAGCTGGGAAATCACCAGGCAATTAAAATAAGGCAAAAGGCAGTGAACACTGTAGAAATCTACAACCCGCAGGGACAGCTAGAAGAAAGCCAGCAACCCGTAAGGGACAAACGGGGGTTAAGCATGAATTCCAGCCAGGAAAGAAAAAAGCCACTGCAATTGGAGTAAAACAAAACAAAAAAACATGTACCCAACAACCTAGGATTCACAGTATAAATCTAAAGAAGCACACTTCGACTACCTCTGATAGTCCCACAGGGGCTGATGCCGCACAAAACAGGACCACAAGAGAGCAGTCAAGGCAGAGCCTAGAAAAGATACAGTCCAGCATATATGATGCACACAAAGAAAAAAGCTAATGTTAAGCATGGACAAGTAAATATAAAGCTGATTCTAAACCGCACCGGAAAAAAGAGAATTCCGGTCCGGTATAGGACCAGCAATAAACAATACTGTCAAGGTAGGGTGCACCACCTCACCAGGTGTAGCAATCTGAGAATTCCTAAGCAGGTAGGTTCATGCCTTGGACAAAATGGTAGAGTGGTGAAAGGAATAGGACCACACTACAACAAGCATCTCGAAGCATAGAATCAACTGTCCTTCTGAATATATCACCGGAGAACAGGATATCGTTCAACTAGGAAACTTCTCTCCCGTGGGCGATCCGGCCACAGGCAATAGAGCAGTGGACTGAGAGCTGAGATCCACATCGAGGCAGAGGAGGCCTTGCAGATGCATGCGAACGCTGACCTGGAGATCGGGATGGTGATCCACAGAGCTGCAAGCGATCAGCACAGGCTTGGACTTCAGCAGAGATTGTGATAACATTTGTATGATCCTGGTAGGAAAAGGATAACTTGAATGGGAAGACCCAGCTGTACCAGATTTTCTGTTGCAGCAGTAAGAGAAGAAAGGGCTTCAGAGCTCTCCATTTAGCCAATGTAATAGGGGAGAGGTCAGTGAAAAGCTGGCGAGTAGATCCTTGGAACTGAAGTGCTGGGGAGTCTCTAGCCACCTGCAGAAGCCGTTCTTTGGTACTGTAATAATGCAGGCGAATGATAACATCATGTGGAGGACCATCCTGAGTGCGGGGCAGTCAAGGAATCAAATTCCAAACGGTCAATAGGCAACTCAGGAGCCAATTCCTGAAATAGAGCGGTGACAGTGGAGTTAAGATCTAATATAGATATAGGCAAGCCCTGCAAACGAAGATTTGAACTCCGCTCTCTATTTTCGTAGTCTACCAATTGAGAGCGAAATGTCACATTATCATTCTGGAGAGAGGCGATATGTGCACTGTGTGTCTGACAGCAGAAAGATCATGGAGAGGAGACTCCAGGGCCGAAGTACGTCTTCCAATGTCCCTGATCTCTCTGGTAAGCTGGTCAGAAAGTTTTCTTGGACATTTTCTTCAAGGCAGGATCTAGGAGCACTTCAAAATGAGCAAGAAGATCTGGAGCAGCTAGCAAAGCATTATCTTTTAGAAGCTGTCATGGATCAGCGGTAGTTCTGAGGAATCTTACAAGTCCCTTTAGGAGGTCAGAGCAGGCGAGGAAGGCAGGGTGGAAGACACCGGTACCATCTTGCCGCCCCTCTCCAGCGCCTCGCAGTATTATTTTTGACCCAGATTTAGGCTTCTTCTTGGCACTGTGTAGGACCATGAGTGACTCGAACTGAAGCCCCAAGGGTCACTTAATGGGTAAGGTTAGTTGGAAGACGCAGGATCAGCTGTAGTGCCCAGCAGTTGCAGAATCCCCCCAGCCGGCTGCAAAGCACTCTCGGGATGCGTGCATCCCGATAACGTGTGTGTGTGTGTGTGTGTGTGTGTACTAGGGCTCTTGAGCGACTGGCATACATCCAAATTCATGCAAGACTTCACCCTATATAAATCTGACCCTCCAAAAATACAGTACCTTCCTCCACACAGCCAAGCAGACCTACTTCATCACTCTTCATCCAGTCCCCGTCAACTCTTTTCTACCTTTAACTCCCTACTTCCTTCGCTGCCGCCTCCTTCAGCCAACTCGCTGCCCAGGAGATTGCCAATCACTCCAAAGACCACATTGCTGCAATTCACCATAGGGCTGCCACAGGACAGACATCTGCCACTTTGAATACACCTTGTCTACCACCACATTCAATACTCTCCATGTGATCTCGTCACTGCAGACGAAGTAGCTACTCTTTATCCAACACCCACCTAACTACCTGCCACTTGGATCCCATCCCCTCATAACTACTCTGATCACCTACCTCTATTCTACAATCTCTTACCCACATCTTCAACCTCTCCCTTTCACTGGCATCAACCGTACACCTCTAAAACAAGTATTGGTGAGCCCCATTTTAAAAAAAGCCCTCAATAGGGCCCACCAGTCTGAACAATTCGTTGCTCCCAGTTGCCTCCCAGCTTCTTGAACGCCTGGTGTACAGCCACCTGAGCCGCCACCTTACTGCTAACAACTGCCTCAACCGCTTTCAAGCTTGCTTTTGTCCACTTCAGAAACTGTCCTAAAACAGTGGTTCTCAACCTTTCTAGGGCCGGGACCCCTTGGTAACATTTACAAAGTTGTCGTGACCCCCAACCGTAAAATGTAGGGATGCACCAATACGAGTATCTGTGTGGGCTCTCAGGTGGCTAGTGGGACTCTGGTGGCATCCAGTGCGGGCTCTGTGGTGCCCAATGTGGGCTTTGTGGTGATCAAGCACTCACCTCCCCTCACTCCTGCCTGCTCCCCTCTCTCTGATCCCCTCTGGGCACTGCTGCTGCAGCGCCATCAAGGCAAACTGACCCTGCCACGCTAGGAGGAGGCTGAGGAGCCTCTTACCTAGAGCAGCACAAGGCACGTGGGGACCCCCTCAACAGTGGGTTGCGACCCACTTTTGGGTGGCGGCCCACAGGTTGAGAACCACTGTTCTAAAACTTACTAAAGATTTACGAACTACTGAAACCAAAGGCCACTACTCTGTACTTCTGGACCTTTCTGCTGCTTTTGACAGTTGACCACCCACTTAATGAACTCCAATCCCTTGGCCTCCAAGACTCTCTTCTCTCATGGTTCACCTCCTACCTATCTCAGTGAACCTTCAGTGTCACCTATAACTCTACTGCCTCCTCTCCTCTTCCTCTATCTGTGGGGGTCCCCCGAGTCTCTGTTCTTGGGCCCCTTCTCTTCTCCATCTACACCTCCACCGTGGGTCAGTTGATGACCTCAATGGCTTCCATTACCATCTCTATGCTGACAACACTCAAATATATATGTCTACCCCTCAGCTCACCCCTTCTATTGCCTCACGCATCACTAACCTACTCACTGATATATCGACATGGATGTCGCACCACTTCCTCATACTAAATCTTATAATATTTCCTCCTCTGTGTTCCCTCCCCCAACTTCTCTATCACAATTAACAGCACTACAATCAATCCTTCCAGTCAAGCCAGGGTGCTTTGAGTAACCCACATCCAATCGCTAACCAAATCTTGTTGACTCAAGCTCTGTAACAGTTCCAAACTTCGTCCTTTCTTAACAAATGATACTGCAAAGCTGCTAATTCACTCCTTTGAAATATCTTGCCTCGACTCTGTAACCCCCTCCTTGTTGGCCTACCAAGAAGCAGGCTATTCCCCTTTTCAGTACATCAGGAAAGCTGCTGCCAGACTCATCCACTTTACCAACTGATCTGTTTCCGGTACCCCCCTCTGCCAATCGCTCCACTGGCTCAGACTTTCCCAACGCATAAAATTCTAAATGCTAACAATAACCTACAAAGCCATCTACAACTCCACCGCAACCTACATCACCTACCTCCTCTCAAAATATCACCCAAACTGCCCCCTTCGCTCTTCCCAAGACTTCCTGCTCTCCAGCTCTCGTCACCTCTTTGCATGCTCGCCTCCAGGATTTTTCCAGTGTGTCTCCCATTCTCTCGAACCCCTTATCCCAATCTGTCTGCCTATCTCCTACTCTGTCCACCTTTAGGCAATCCTTGCCTTGAAAACTCCTTTCTTCAGGGAGGCCTATTACACATCTATATAACAGTACTTTCAGTTCTTCCATTAAATCATCCCAAACAGTTACCTTTTTTGTCACTTGCCCCTGATTGTAAGCTCTCACGAGCAGGGCCCTCCTACCTCCTGTACTGAAATTGTATTGTTAGTTGTATTGTCTCCTTCAGTTTTGTAAAGCGCTGCGCAAACTGTTGGCTCTCTATAAATTATGTGTGTATGTATATACAGTCATGGCCAAAAATATTGTCAACCCTGCATTTCTGTCAGATAACACACCACTTTGCGTAGAAAATTGTTGCAATTACAAATGCTTAGGCATTCTCATTTATTTTGTTTGTATTGGTAAAACACAAAAAAAAGCCAAACCTGTAAAATTCCACGCAAAACTTAAGAAATGGACTGGAAAAAATGATTGGCACCTTCTCCAAATTGCAAGAAATAATTGCATTCCAAAACAGGACACACATCACATACACCAAATAAAAGGGCGCTTACCCCCAGCATGCCTCAGTTTTTTGTTTCCTCGGCCTAACAGGAGCATGGGAATGCTTTGTTATTTTACCTATAGGCCTGCGTGCACGTGGCAGGGGCTTACTGTGCAGGTATCTCCTTCACAGAGCCAGCGGCTTGGGGATACCTGGACAAGATCCCTGGGGCAGTCCCCATCCTGTCCTACCCTTGTGGGTGAATGGGCCCTGAGGTTCCCCTCTTTTAAGAGGATAACCATCCTCCGAGTTGTGTCGGCCCCAGCGGAGCTTTTCCCCTAGCCACCAGGAGACAGCTGCCCTCGGGCCTTCTTACGGGCATCAGATGAGGGACTCTGAACCCAGTTTAGTGTGGGACCGGCTTCCTCACTAAAACGGTACCTGGGATCTCCTTTGTTAGCCCCACACTACTTCCGGCCGGGCCGTATGTGGTAAGGCATGTCTCAGCTGGTTCACAGCGGTCCTGGGCGGGCAGGGCAGCACTACAGAGCGGGGGGCAGAGAGCCCTCAGTGTGGCGGCCCGCGTGCGTTCCAGGCTTGGATGGCGCAGTGGCGTCTTCCGGGAGGTAGTGGCGCATCTTTGTGATGTCAGACACCACAGGAAGCGTGACGTCGGACGACGGGGGCGGTACTGCGGAGAAGCAGGAAGTGACTTCAGGCGGTGCACTTCCGGTCCGGCCATGTGAAGAGGAAGCTCTGGTCGCCTGTTGCCTGGCGGGCTCCTTGTGGACACCAGCAAGGGGGAAGCAATCAGAGCGGGGGCAGAGAGCGTGGATCTTCGCATTGGTCAGCGGCCATGCCTGCATACTCCGCAGCAATTGCTGCACCCACTGATCTGGGGGAACCCTCTGCAGCCAGCTCTAAGGTAGGCAAGTGCTGGGCACTTTTTACTACCCTGTACCTTTGGTGGTGGGGCCCCTTTTTTTTAGGCAAAGGTACATGAGGGGGCATAGTGGCTTTTGGGGAGGGGGGCTAACGCTAATATGTTGTGTTTTGTTGTTTCAGGCCAGAAATTCTGAAGATAAGCCCTTAGCCGTGCCCTCAGGCTCTCGTCCCAAATACAGGAAGTGTGCGTCTTGCAACGATAGATTAGCATCCTCGCACAAAAAGCCGCTATCCCGGCCATGCTTGGAAAAGCTTGTGGCAGAAGAATCGGCTGGGAATCTTAGGGGCCTACTTGACAGCATGAGGGAGGAAATGGTAGCTACTTTCCAATCCCTGTGCTCAGTCATTCAGGTTCAACCCGGCCCCCCCTGTGCAGATCCGGCCTTGCCAGGGCCTTCCAGGGTTCAGTCCCGCAGGTCAGAGAGCTGTACCAGTCGGGAGATGGTGAGATCCGGGGATTCTTCTTCCGATTCGGTGGGAGGACTAATCTACGGAAGAAGGGGAGCTTAGGGCTTCCAGATACCTTTTTCCGGCGTCAGACACTAACGAATTACTCAAGGCGGTCTGGGAAATCCTGGGGATCGAGGAGGAGCAAGCCGAACTATCGGTACATGATAGGCTTTACAAAGGGCTGCAGTCTAAGAAAGGCAAGACTTTCCCAGTTCATCAGTCCTTAAAGGACCTTATCCTGGCAGAATGGGCTGATCCGGAGAAAAAGCTTCATTTTCCCCCTGGGCTAAAAAGATTTCCCTTTAGCGAGTAGGACTGCGGGACATGGGAAAAGTGCCCAAAACTAGATGCGTACCTCTCAAAAGTGTCCAAGAAAACATACCTATCTTTTGAGGACATGGGGGCCCTAAAGGAACCCATGGACAAAAAAGCTGAAAAAGCTGACGCGCTACTCCGAAAAGCCTGGGAAGCAGCGGCGGCAGGTTTCAAGCCAGCCCTGGCCACCACCTGCATAGCCAGGACACTGGATGTCTGGCTGGCCCAGCTCCACTCACTGTTGGAGTCTGGGGCCAGTGCAGAACTGGTATCTGAATCCTTTCAAGGGCTCTCCAAGGCGGTCGCTTATGTAGCAGACGCCTCTGTGGAAGCCATTGGGTTCTCAGCACGGGCGTCGGCGCTAATTAACTCTTCGCGTAGGGCTCTGTGGCTGAAGACCTGGTCTGGGGACTTTGCATCCAAGAACAGGTTATGTGGTCTGCCATTCATAGGTGACCTGCTCTTTGGCCCGGAGCTGGAGGCAGTCCTGGACAGGTCATCGGACAAAAAAGGGTTTCCGTTGGCCAGTAAGAAACCCAGGAAACCCTTTCGGGGACAGCTTGCCTGAACAAACGGAGGTCAGACTTTCAGACGGGGCAAAAAGCAGGACCAGGGCAAGAAATGGGCCTTTAAGAAGGGGAAAGACAAATCTGGGTTTCGCTTTTCCCCGCCCAAGCAAATCCCCAATGACTACCCGGCTTTGGTGGGGAGAAGACTAATACTATTCATCCCTCAGTGGCAGGAGGTCACGGGCAATGGTTTTGTCCTAAACCTTAACCAGTGGGGTTACAGGATAGAGTTGAGATCAGCCCCTGCCAGATTCCTCATAACTTACCACTCAAAGGATCCAGAGAAGGCCCAAACGATGATCTTAGCTTTACAGAACCTTCTGGACCAGAAGGTGATCTGTCCGTTACCAAAGGGGGAACAGGATTCCGGGTGCTACGCCCATCTTTTTGTAAGGAGGAAGCCCTCGGGCAAAGCCAGGTTAATCCTCAATTTGAAACCCTTGAACAAAGTGCTTCAGTACAAGAGGTTCCGCATGGAATCTATCTATACGGTGAGGAGTCTGTTGTCCCAGTCAGTGTTTCTAGCGAAAATAGACTTAAAGGATGCCTACCTCCATATCCCGATCGGGGAGCAGTCACAACAGCTCCTCAGATTTGCGATGGAAGGACCCCAAGGCACTGCTCAGTATTTTTGGCACTCCCTTTCGGTCTTTCATCGGCGCCAAGACTTTTTACAAAGGTGCTAGCAGAGGCCCTTGCTCCCCTGAGACTTCAAGGCATAGAGGTTATCCCTTACCTGGACGACCTGTTGTTCTTCAGCTACTCTCGGGAGACCCTCAGGGGGAACCTGGACCTGGCCGTGGCACACTTACAGGGCCTGGGCTGGCTGATAAATGGGGAGAAGTCCCAGCTCCAGCCAACGCAGGAGTTTGTATTTCTGGGATACCGTATAGATTCTTTAGTTTCACGGTTGTTCCTCCCGGAGGACAAACGCGAAAAATTGGCGGAGTTATCTCTTTCCCTGTATCTGTCCCAGGAGTTGTCCTTCAGGGCCATAATGAGGCTTCTTGGCCTTATGACATCGGCAATCCCAGATGTCCCGTGGGCCCAGTTCCACTCGAACACTTCAGGCCTTTCTTTTGCAGCATTGGGGCGGCGAACGAGAAAGGTTGGACGTGTGTATCCGGATCCCGGGTCACGTAAAGGCGTCTCTCAGCTGGTTGGAGAGACGGAATCTGGACACGGGCAGGTTGTGGATGGTGCCGAGTCAGGTTACTATCACCACGGACGCCAGCGCTTGGGGCTGGGGCGCCTATTGGGGGGACCACCTAGCCCAGGGAAATTGAGTCCCGACTGGCGTCGGAAATCTTCCAACATGAGGGAACTGAAGGCGATAGGACTGGCCTTAGGCAAATTCGAAGTAGGTATCGCGTCTCTCGTGGCAGTCCGGATGGACAATGCCACGGCGGTCGCCTATATCAACAGGCAGGGGGCACGAGGTTGTGGCCTCTGATGGCCCTGACACGAGATTCTGGCCTGGGCGCAGGTCAGGCTTTTATCGCTCACAGCGGTTCATTTAAAAGGGTCTCTGAACTCCCTAGCCGACTTCCTCAGCAGGAGATGCATTCTCATAGTCGGAATGGGCACTAAACAACTAAACTTTCCAGATGCTGAGGAGGAGGTGGGGGACCCCAGAGGTAGACCTGTTTGCCACCAGGGAGAACAGAAAAGTGGTTCGGTTTTTTTCCCCTGTGTCCAGGGGACGGAGCCCTAGGAGTGGACGCATTCTCCCATCCCTGGGTTTTCGCGCTGGCATACGCTTTTCCACCGGTAAGGCTGCTACCTAGAGTCCTTTCGAAGGTAGTACAGGAGAGGTTGACCCTGATACTCATTGCACCTTGGTGGCCAAAGAGGCCGTGGTTCGCGACGCTTCGCAACCTTAGTATAGAACCCCCTTGGATTCTTCCGATAATTCCAGACCTTCTGTCCCAGGGCCCAGTGAGGCACCCTCATCCGGATACCCTCAAGCTGGCGTCTTGGTATCTGAGAGGGAGATCCTACTGACCAAGGGGCTTTCAGAGAGAGTTAGCCACACCATGCTTTCCAGTAAGAAACCAACGACCGCCACAATCCACAATAAGATCTGGAAGACTTTTTCTTCCTGGAGGCTCCTTAACGACATGAGGAGTAAGTAGGTTGTGGTGGCGGTGTTGGCGTTCTTA